TGCAGGAAACAAAGGAAAAAAAAATGTGGGCGGAGGAAAGGAATTTCCGGGAAACTCAGTGAGAAAAGAAATCAGTTACCAAGTTTGGGGGAAAAAAAAAGTCAATCTAGAAAGAAAATGTAACAAACTGCACATTATACATCTCGGCTGGAGAAAATTCCTCTTGCGGGAAATTTGTTTTACATTCTTAATAAAATCTGTTACAACTATATATGCATAACTAAATAGGGAAGGTTAATTTAATCTTGGGCTGTAATCTTTTTTTAATTGGGGAGGAAAAGTTTTAGGGGGGAAGGTGCATGTGTCTCAGAGAACTTCTGGAATAGGAAGGGAACATCAAGAAGTCACAGAATAAGCTTAATTACGTAGAAAAATAGAGGAAAAGCCAAAAGTAAAAGAGTTTCAATTAGTTGCTGCCGGAGCGGGGCCGTGGACTGGGAGTCAGTGGTTTGGCTCTGAGCTTGGTGGAACTGCTTGCCTTTTTCTTATGTCCCTGTTTTTCGTAAAACACAGGATTTTAATGGTGTCAGAGGTGGTGATAATATGTTGTGATGGAAAGATTTTTTTTAAAAATGACAGTTAAAAGGAAACATATGTTGGGTGGGGGGAGGGTGCAGCTCAGGGGGAGAGCGCGTGCTTAGCATGCACGAGGTCTTGGGTTCAGCCCCCAGTCCCTCCATTAAATGAGTAAACCTAATTACCCCCCTTCAGAAAAGGACATCCCAAAAGAAAACATAAAGCCAGAAAAATATATGCCAACTACTAGTAATCTGAGTGTCAATTAAGGGGTTTTTTTTCCTTCCTTTGATAATTTAAAAAAATTTGTTTTGCATTAGATATGTGTTACTGATGGCATTTGAAAAGGAGACGCCACACACACACACCCCTACATGAAACACCAGGTCCAGCCCATGAGGTCACTGTCCCTGGGAAGAGCCAGGGCATGTGCTGTGTGCCTGAGCGAATAAACCAAGGAGCTCCAACAGGAGCGCTAAGACAGCCTGGCAGGTGGGGTTGGCCGCACCCCTCCCAGGTTGAGCTCTTGAAGGATCGGGACCTGCTCGGACTAGAGGGAGGCCCAAGGCTGGCTGAGAGCCCCGCCCCACCCCCGGGGCAGGAACCCAGCACCCTGTCATCACTTGCACATACTCTGTACGGAACACGGTGGCCTTTGAGTGCGTCTTCAGCCCTGAGTGTGGATGGATGAAAACGGTCAGAAGGAGGAGAGGAGGGGGAGGCAGACTTTCAGAAACACAGACCTGGAGTCAGGGGCTCCAGCCTCCACCGTCGGACCTGCTCAGTGCTGACTGGCTGCCCTGAGGGGCTCTGTGCTGGTGATGGCTGAGCTGGGTGGCTGCGCCGGGCAGGAGCGCGACGTCCCTTCTGTTGACGAATGTCCTGCAGCCTGTGGATGGTTGTCAGTCCTGGCCGCCTGGGCACGTGCAGAGGCAGGAGAGAAGGGGAAGGCCACAGGTGATGGCTGAGCTGCCCTGTCTGTCCGTCCTTTGCGTGGGCACACATTCCTGGGCCCTAGGTAAAGCTTCCAGCAGGAAGATTTCTGCACCTAAGTCAGGGCTAAGGGACCCCTGCTTCATACTTACACTGAGGGGAAACTTCCTGCTCTTCTGATTTGCCCGGAGCCCCAGCCCCCTGCCGCGTGGGGGGCTTAGGGGTGCCTCTGAGCATCCTGGACCACCTCAGGGCACTGCTGGGCACATTACAAGCCCTCACTCCACCACCCCCACCGCCCACCCAGGGGCCCCAGAAGGGGACTGGCCACCTGCCAGCCCCTCCCCGCCCCCGCCACCATGCTACCCTTGTCCCCGCGCAGAGCTGCCCTCACGCTGACTGCTGGTCCTTCTTTGTGCTTCGCAGGTGTCTCTGGGGTCCCAGGCTGACTTTCAGAAGAAGAAGAGGCGGGCGCCGGCCCCCCCTCCACCGCAGCCCCCACCGCCCAGCCCGCTGGTGCCCGCGCGCACGGAGGACAGGGAGGAGGGCCGGAAGGGCAGGACGGGTGAGTGAGCGTGCAGCACGCACGCCCCGGGTGCTCGCTGTGGCCTGGCATCGCTGCACGGCTACTCACCCCCGCGGTGGCCTCCTCTGCCATGCCATTAACCCGGGAAATATTTAGGCGAAAGAAAGTCTGGAAATGAACCGTTGGGAGTCCCGGAGCATCCCGCAGGCACACGCTCCAGGCGTGAGGTGGGCGTTTAGAAGGCGGGCTGGTGGGGACGGCGAGGAGGGGACGTCAAGGCGTCGGAGAGCGCGAGTGATGGAGAGCCAGTGCTCGTGGATGTGTGGCAGGCAGATGTCCCCCGAATGGGAGAAGGTGGGTTCCAGGAGGTTGCCTGTGGATACTGGAGTGAAAACACCCAGACCCCAGGAATTTATGGATCAGGTGGTGGCAAGGCTGCTGTCATTTTTTGAGCTCCCTGTTCAGAACTGATCTCCACTTGGATAGCTTTTAATAGAAGATATTCCTTGAGAAAAAGAGAACCCGCATTAAAGAGGGCGCCATCAGCCTGTGTCTGTGAGCAGAGACCTGTGCGATCGCGCAACCCCGGCCCCTCGCGCTGCGGGGGAAGGAGACAGAAGTGCTGGAGGTCCCCGAGCCGGAGGTGGCCGCTTTTATTGGAAAATCAGTGTTCGCGAGTTCACTTATGTAGGGACAGAAGCCACCCTTGACGAGCAGAGGTTGCCCGAGACGTACCCCTGACGTACGTGCACAGGCGTCGCCATCACGGGAGCCCTTCAAGGCCACGGCCAGGGCCAGTCAGCCTCCCGGGCAGCCTCTGACCTGATGGCTGCAGCCCCCAAGGATGACTGGTTGCAGTAATAGGGTCTAAAACTCTCATCAGAGCCCCTGGGCTGTTTGAAGCATTTTTCCACTGGTCAGGACCTCGCTTTTAATGTCTTAGCATTTCGCAGTCCGGGGACCGATTTTTTCTAAGGAGCTGTGGTCTAAATTTCACGTCAGTTGCAAACTCCTTCCCAAACCATCCGATTTGAAGGAGACGGGACCAGTAGCTCATGAAAGTAAACCTGGTTGTCCTTTTATCATTTTTCGCGACGAGACCCCCGTTCTGTCTTGCAAGCTGTCTCCCCACTCTTTCCGTGAACGGCTGACGACCCTCAGATTTCGAGTTCCTCGTGCAAACTGTAAGACGCACCCCTGTTAAGCGGTTAAGTGTGGACGTGGTTGAGTCCTGACCACCTCCGGGCCGGACAGCCCATCTCAATCCCAGCAAGGACCTCCCGATTCAGCCTTGAAGGACCGAGTGTGTGTGTGCGACGTGCTGGGAAGGCCTGGCCTGGGTGTGGGGCAGCTGGTGCTCACGGGGGTCACAGGAGAAGGGAGGGAGGCGATTTAAACCTGAAAAATTGAAACTGTAAGGGCAATTCTCTCCCTAAGGAACATGCGACTGAGAGAAGCTGTAGGTGGGAGGAACCCTCCACGGGTCCGTCTCTAGTCCATAAATTTCTGTTTCTGATTTCCTCCAGAAAATCACTTTGAATAGTTTTTGAGAGCTCCCTCAAGTTGCAGACCCTTTTGCTTTGAGAAATACACTTAAAATACAATTTGTTTTTTAAATTTAAATTTCATTCAACATCAAACTTACCTTGGGTAACTCTGGACAGCTTACGTCCGTGGACAAAGCTAATAGTGGTTTTTTTAAACCACACCTTGCCACTACATGACTTTAAAGGAATTAATATATTGCAGAAAAAGTGTATTTGAAGCCTTATTGGATTGCTTTAATTGCACCATTCAATTGAGTCGTTTTTGAGGTCAGGAGTCTCGGTGGCCATGCAAGGCAGACCTCCATCCCCATCAAAAATCCCCATGATTTAAAACCACAGGCAGAGCTTTTAACCAAAGTCTTGGCTTTTAGGTCGAAAGATAATAATTAAAGAAAAGTAGCTCCTAACCACACACACACAAAAATATATTTTCTGAGCTCCTTTTTCTATTCAGACACCTGGAGATACTAATAAAAAAATTTTTTTGGAATTAGCACTAAAATTACACTGGAGCTGGCTGGATTTGGGTCTTGACCCAGATGTCTTGATAAACAAAAGTAAAATTTCTGGCAGAGAGCCTCTCCCTCCCCTGCCTTCTGTTGGAAATGCTCTCTCGTGTCAGGTGCTAACCTGGGCCAAGCAAGTCACACCCAATCAGACATCCTTGGCTGATTTCCCCTTGACGGAGCAAACAACACGTAAAGATGGAGACATTAATATTTTTCCATGTCAAAAGAACTGTGACCAGGAGAAGGAAGGCATGGATCTATCTCTTGATGGACAAATGATGTCTCTTAGTATTTTTATTAATGACCTGATGAAAAGCATGAAACATGGAATCCATTCGTTCCTAGAAGATTCTAGACATTAGAGCTGCAAGAAAGTATTTTTACGAGAAATAATAGCACAGCGTATCACCCTTGTAATTCACATCATTTGCTCTGCGAATACAATTGTAAATGGACCCCCAGCGTGTAAACAGATCACAGAGGGCCGCCCTGGTGGTCTGAGAGGCAGGCTGGGGTTGGGGGGCACCACCCTTAACTCTCCAGCTCAAAGCAGTTTGAAAACTGTTACCCAAAACAATGAAAGAAGCTGATGCTGTAAATTAGTGTTTATTGGGGTCACACGAGGTCATAGGTCTAAGCAAGAATAATCTGAAAAGAAACCCATGAACATGAAAAAGACCAACATGAAAAAAGGGACTTCCTTTTAACTGACAGAGCTGTTCAGGGAGCTTTTAATAATCATTTGAGGACCAGCGTTTAAAAATAGTTGTGCCTCCCAGAAGCGAACGCCAAGCGGGCAGTCATTCTCAGGATGGCCCCAGGATGGGACACTACGTATAGAAAACCTTAAAGCAGGAAGGAAGTTGGACATGGTGCTGAGTGAGGTTGGGCTCGGTTCCGGGTGTGCTTGATTTTGCTGATGAGTGAGGTTGCCTTTGGTTCTGGCCGAGGTTGGATTTGGTGCTGGGTGAGGGTGAGTTTGGTTCTGGGTGAGGTTCGTTTTGGTGCCATGAGGTTGGATTTGGTTCTGGATGAGGCTGGATGTGGTTCCAGGTGAGGCTGGATGTGGTTCCCGGTGAGGTTGAATGTGGTTCCAGGTGAGGCTGGATGTGGTTCCAGGTGAGGTTGAATGTGGTTCCAGGTGAGGTTGAATGTGGTTCCAGGTGAGGCTGGATGTGGTTCCAGGTGAGGTTGAATGTGGTTCCAGGTGAGGTTGAATGTGGTTCCAGGTGAGGCTGGATGTGGTTCCAGGTGAGGTTGAATGTGGTTCCAGGTGAGGCTGGATGTGGTTCCAGGTGAGGCTGGGTTTGGTGCTGAGTGAGGTTGGATTTGGTGCCATGAGGTTGGATTTGGTTCTGGCTGAGGCTGGATGTGGTTCCAGGTGAGGCTGGATGTGGTTCCAGGTGAGGCTGGGTTTGGTGCCATGAGGTTGGATGCGGTTCCAGGTGAGGCTGGATGTGGTTCCAGGTGCGGCTGAACGTTGTTCCAGGTGCGGCTGGGTTTGGTGCTGAGTGAGGCTGGATGGGGTCCACGCTGTGGCTGCATCAGGTGCCGGGCCGTGTGCGTCCGAAGCCGGGCGGCGCTCGCGGCGTGGGTGAGGGATGGCCACGAGCCTGCGGTGGGTCGTGGGGTGGGGAGTCCCGGGCTTCCCTTCTGAAGTGACCCTGTTGATTCCACGTAGGTGTCGGCCGGCAGGTGCCACAGAAGCCCCCCAGAGGCGCTGCCCGGGGCCCCCCCCAGTTAGAGCTCCCCCCGCCCCCGCCCTACCCTCCTCCTGCCGCCGAGGCCGGGCTGCCGGGATGCTCCGGGACAGGCGCTGCATCCTTGGCCTCCGACCCGAGACCCACACGTACGTGCCTCTCCCTCCCTCCCCGTGTGTCACGGCCCCTCCCTCCCGTGTCTGGTGTCGGGGCTGCGTTTCCAGACTTTCCGTCTTGCCTCGGGGGGTGGGGTACGTGTGTGTGTTCTTCCTACACGCGCAACGCAGTGTGTCCGATTGCACTGAATGCCACGCAGCGACCTGTTAAAAACTGACTTAAGCCGTCCATCATTCAGACGCTGGTTAGATCACCGCCAGGACCGTGTCGTGTGGGTGGAGCTCACGTTCCCCAGATGACAAGGACCCTCAGAATGCCACACCAGCTCGATCTGCCCGGCAACCACCTGAGTGCAGGGGGGGCTCCCTCGGGCCAGCTGTGGATGGGAAGGCGAGCTGTCCCCAGAGCTGGGGACACCGACAGATCAGAATCTGAACCATCCGGCCCGTGGCCAAGCGTCAGAACCGCTGCCCTGCAGAAGGGCGGGCGGAGGAGCAGCAGGGGAAACGGCTTGATTTGAGCCTCACGGTAGCCAGAAATAAAGGCTTCATTTGTTTCCGGTCCTTGTCACACTGTGTCCGAGATCAGGCCTTCTTCCTTGCTTCTTGTGGCCTTTAACCAGCCGTGCACACAGCCTCCCGCCTCCAGGCGGCTCAGTGTTGTCCACGCAGGTGCGCGTGTAACAGGTGCCCGAGAGCATCCTCTGTGCTCAATCCCGTGCGCATCCTCACCTCCTTCAGGGAGCCTCGGCCCTGCAGGGGCGCTTCCTGAAAAAGCGGGTGCCGTCCCGGGCTGGCCTTCCCGACAGCCTTGTGTCCCCCCGCATTCAGCCCAGGGAGCCGCGGGCACCCACGCGAGACAGGCAGCCGTCTGGTTGGGAAGTTCACACTTTCCCACCATCGGACCACGTGATCTTTCTTTTTTTTCTTTTTAATTTTCTTTGCAAGTGACGGCCAGCTGGCTGCCAGCTTCTGGGTAAAGAAGATGATCTTTGAATCCTTTGTCAACTTTCTCTGGGCAAAATCATCTCAATTCATTCTCTTTCTCTTTTTTTTTTCACAAAGACGTCCCTTCCATCCTTAAATGATGTTTGGTCATCTTGACGTTGGAGAGGCGTCCGGATGCAAATGAGTTGTACAGGGTGTTCAGAAATTGGGGCTTAGACAGATTAGGGCAGAAAGATGTAGCCGAGGCTCTTTAAGCCCCTCACGCCAAGGCCGTGAGCTTTCAGCGACCTCTTTCGTGGCCACAGTTGTCACCGCGGATCCTCCTCCCCGGGGAGCCAGAGAGGGGGCAGCGGCTGAGTGGGGAAAGGTGGCCTTTGACAGCGGAGAGTGGCCACAGCCCAGGAGCTTTGGATGGGAGAGCCAGGCCCGAGGACCTTCCCACCCCTGACCTTACGCAAACCGGGGACCCTGGCTCCCCGCCGGGCCTGCCTGTGTTTGGGGGGGCAGTGTCAGCGTGCGGCGTCGGCTGGAGAGACCGTTGGACAAGATCGGCTGCATTCAAAGGCTGCGCCTGCAGAGGCAGAGCTCCCTTCTGGGTCTTTGCAAGTGGTGCAAAAACAGATCCCAACCCTGCCCTTGGGGACCTGCAAAAAGAGGGCTGAGCGGAAAAATGGAGCAAGCCATAGACGGAATGAAACCTGGAGGCTCTATTGCCACCTCGTGCCCCTGGGGTCACGGGTCTGTTCTGTCCACGCCTTCATTCGGCAGATGCACGTCATCAGGACGTCCTCTGTCCTGCCCGGGTCACAAGGCACCTTCCCTCCTCTCTCCCCGTCTCTCCCCGACTCACACAAACCAAGAAACGCCAGGAAAGAGCATGGAAAGACAGGAGGAGCAGAGAGGAGGCCCCGTGAGGGTCAGACCCCCGCAGACGTCTCCCCTCCTCCTGCTCCCTGCGTCTCTCCTGGCTGCGTGTGCGCCAGACACGAATGCGTCCGGCTCGGAGATTTTTTCCACCTCGTTAGCAGGACCAGCCTGACATCCTTGGCAGCGTCAAAAGCTGGGAAAGGCTGGGATCGCCTGCCCACCCAGGCGGAAGGCACTCTGCCTTCCTTGATTTCATTCAGGTCTTTCCAAAGGTTAAGGACGGAAAAGTCCTGGGTGGTCATTTGGTTTTAGATTTTTTTTTTTTTTACAGAAGGTTGAAGTCACCGGTCACAGGGGAGCGGTAGGTGGCTGGATGCGACTTTCCGCCCCTCGCCGGGCATCGCACCTGCCCTCCCACCTGGCTCCCTGTGTCCGAAGGTGTGTGCAGTGTGCAGTGCGTGTGTCTCCTCCCGAGTGCAATGTGAGACCCGGGCTCCCTGTGCAAGACACAGGGTGTTCGTGACAGAGACCAGACCTGGGTACCTGGAGGGCCAGGGGTGAGCTGGCTCCGCCCACCCGGCAGCGCTGGGTTTGGGCGCAAACTGAGCCAGGACGGTGATGTCACTGGCCCCCAAGTCCCGGTACAGAGCAGGGGGCAGCGGGAATTCACACTGGGGCATCTTTGACCCTCACCTTTGCGGCGCCACCCCTGCACTCTCTCCCACGGCGCCCCAAGCCCCGTTGCCCACCTCGCGCTTTGCGCCTTCACTGTTATTTTTCCCGCTTGGGTTGTCACAAGGAGGTAAAATGCATTCTCTTGAACACCCCGTAAGCACAGCCGAAGATAAGATTAAAAAGAGCCAAGCAGCCCACAGACGGTGGATGTGGACGCAGGTGTGAGGTGGTAAGACGTGAAATTGGTCCCCGATGCCACACCCTCAATTCCGATCCCTCCCCGCCCAGAACTTTCCATTCCTGCCCCCGCCCCCCACCTCTGGAGGGTCTTGTCCTGTCCCCATCCCCGTGGCTTTGCTGGTCACTGCTGCCCGCACCCCCGTCCAGAACCAGCCCTCTGCCAGCCGACCTGGGAGCCAGCTGGACCTCAGGTCCTTCCCCAGGGACAGCCCCTCCGTCCCATTTTTACGCCTAAAGTGTTACCAGCACTTGACTCCTGGTCACTAAGACAGTATTTACCTGGGGCAGAGGGACATCGGAGGACACTGTGTGTTCTGCACCACTGCCACATTTCTCTGGGACTCCTGGACTCTTTTTGAACCAAAATACAGTCTGCAGTTAGTGGAGATCAAATGACGGTCCCCTCGTGTGTCTGCCTGGCTCGAAGAGGCCACCAGTCCACGGCCTCCCTCCAGCACCTTGGGGGACCAGATGGAGGCGCGTTCTGCACAGGGATGGGGCTCTCCATGCAACCCCCACTCCCATCCCAGGGACCCGTCTTTGGCGTGCCTCCCACCCCTTCGTCTCACCCTCCAGGTGTTTATCCCTTCCTCCCACACGTAGGACACACACCTGCACGTGCCACGTCCCCAGTCTGAGCCACTCAGTAGACAGAGTCTGCATCGCTTGTCACGTCTGAGACTGGGTTTGAGAAAGTCTGTGGCTTCCGCCTGGACTCGTCACCCACCAGAAGCCAGGCTGGGATCTTCTCTGTGGGGAGGCCCACGGGGCCAGGAGGGAGGGAGCCTCCAGCCAACAGCCAGCGAGGATCTGAGGCCCTCAGTCCTCTGCCCGCGGGAGCAGAGAGCTGCCCGCAGCCGCCGACGGACCCCGGACGCCGAGCTCCCCAGTCGGGCCTGCAGGTGAGACCACAGCCCTCCCGGGTCGGCGCCGCGGCCCAGAGGCAGCCGGCTGAGCTGTGCCCGGATTCCAGGCCCTCAGTCAGCCATTCTTACTGCTTTAAGCCTGAGCTTTGAGATAATTTGACCAGAGGCAATAGACCACCAATGCAGGCTGCCAAAATCCCATCTCAGACCTTTTCAGGGACTCTCTCATCTCCTGGAGTGGGAATCCCAGTGGGACGGACGTGAGTGCTAGTGAACTGATGCCCCAAGCTGCCACCGAGGGGTCCCTTCCCTGTGTCATCTTTGGGGTTAACGCCACCCTCAGGCTGGTATCAAGGATGCTGGCGCCGTTCCCTGCATCCCATCCCGGCACCAGGACTTTGAGAGGAGAAGAGAGACTGTCTTTTCTGCAGAAATGCTCTCCGTGGTTTCTCTCACGTCTCATGGGCCACCGTGGCCCTGGGAGGAACGGGGTTCCCCTGGGATGAGCCAGCTTTCCCGGGCGTGTGGACGCCGCTGGCCAGCCCTGGGACTCTGCTCTTTGGGAAATGGGGGCGGTGCACGCGGTGTCAACCGCCAACAGTGTTCACTGCACGCGGGATGCAGCGTCCGGTATGTCCTCCGGACCCACGACTCTGCCAACAGGTGTAGAGAGGACTTCGTGCCGGAGGTGAAGGCCAAGTGGCTGATCCAGCCGGACGGCCATGTGCCTGAGGGTCAGAAATCACAGGAGCGTCGTGGTCCCCAGGGCCAGTTTCAGTGCGACTGCCAGACGTTGCTCCTGGCATTAGAACGTGCCCATTTCGAACCCAGGGAGGTCCAATTTCTGGATAATCTTAGTAGCTAATAACAGAATAGGATGCGTAAACTGAGTTCAGCCTATCAGTCTTGGGAATCCTGTATCTCATTTTTTTTTTGCGGTGGGGGCAGTAATTAGGTTTATTTATTTACTTTTTTTTTTTAGAGGAGGTCCTGGGGGTGGAACCCAGGACCTGATGCATGCTGAGCACGCGCTCTGCCACTTTGAGCTGCACCCTCCCCGCTTAATCCATTTCTGGTTAACAAGCTTTCGCATTAACCTCCAGATATCTGATCACATAACGCAGATGCTTCAAGTGTGTGCCTGAACCGTGTGCGTGTGGGGTGGCCCCCATAACCGTCTAACCAGCTCGCTCTCCCATTTCGGTTTTAGTGGAACCTTCCCTGTGGGTCACCACAGAGGAGTCTGTCCCGCTGGTGGCCCTGAATTGTTTGCTTGCAAGATGCGCTGTGCTTGCGTATCATTAAGCGATGAACGAGTGATCGGCTGCTTATTTCAAAGACAAGACCCTGGGGATTCAGAAATCACTGCGTGTAGAGCTCAAATTACAGGTTCTCAATTTCTTTTGTGTTTTGAAAATGAAACTGTCCGACGGCTGG